CCCCCGTGGTAGCTCCTCCCCACCCGTGGAGCTGTGCGGCAGCTCCCCACCCCAGGTCACTTCTGCTCTGCCTCCTCCCCGAGCACGCTGTCGCTGCTCCACTTCTCCCACCTCCCAGGCTTGCGGCGCCAATCAGCTGTTTAGCGCTGCAAGCCTGGGAGGGAGAGAAGCAGAGCGGGGCGGCGTGCTCAGGGGAGGAGGCGGAGCAGAGGTGAGTGGGGCTGGGGACTTCCCCTGCGTGCCGTCCCCCCCTACTTGCTGCAGGCGGCCCTCCCTGCGCCCCCCGGCTGCCGCCGCCGACTGAAGAGGCTGAAGATCCAGCCGCTGCAGTCACCGCCGAAGAAAATGCCGCCCCCCAAATGCTAGTGCCCTAGGCGACCGCTTAGGTCGTCTAATAGCTTGCACCGGCCCTGCAGCTTAGCAGGCTGAAAGAAGCATTGACTTCATACCCATAAATAAGATGCTTGAGAGCATTCCTGAGCATTGCTGCAATTCAGCAACCAGTGGCACAGAGCAACAAGGGCTGGATTTTACCATATTAGGAGCATTCAGAAATGCAGTTAGTGAATATTTACATGTCTAACTTCTTTTCCAAATGCTGTTAAGCTGAGCAAGAGGTTTCAGATGACACCAGACAGTCTTGCTGATCACTGTTCCGTATCCACGTTCATCTACTATCTAAGTACAAGGGGATTCCTGTTTGATTTGGACAGCTCTGGCCAGATTACATTCCAGGAGAAGGTCAGTAATATGGTATGTGATGCTTTAGATAACAGATGTGTCTGTGGGGAGGTAGCTAACAGTGCCTGGGAGGGATATGTCCTCTCCCATGATCATTTTTGTGATATCTTACATGGATGCTGTCATTTCTGGCTGGCAGCAGTTCCTCCCAGGCAAAGGTGATAGGGGTGGGGTGAGAGGGAGGAATAGTTTGGATAAAATAAGAAATGAATCCAAACATTCAGAACCTGAGCTATGCAGCTATACCCCAGTGCCATACTTTTATAAAATAAAGTCACTAGTCTGACAAGCAGGACCGTCAACCAAGCCACAGAAAGATTATCATCTCAGTCAGTCACTGTTGTGAAACTTGACAGACCTCACGAAGGAATGGGTCAAAATTCCAACCCTAACATCGAGCAACTAGGCCTCTATTACAATGCAGTGTATCATGGGGCGCAGGACACCGTTCCAGGTGGTAGATCAGGGAAGATGGCCTGGAGAGAATTTAAAACGAAGGGCAAAAGGACATCTTCATGACTTTGAGTTGAGAGATCTGATCCGTCTGGCTTTTGAATGCCTTGCAAAGTTTGGGAGTGTTCACATCTGGAGAGCTAGTGTGGTCTGTTACAGAGCCGGGGGCCAGCTGTGAAATTTGGGTTCAGATTCTGAATCATCTGGGGGGCAGGGGTGATTGGCTAGACACGTCTTTTTTTTAAAAAAAAGTCACACTTCTGCCCTTCCTGCCTTTGGCCAGGACTGGAAGCAGAAGTGCCCTTCAGAAACTAGTAATCTCCTGATAAAGCCTGGTCTATTGAGTGTTCTAACCCAATTTTGAGACCAAAGAAACTTGGATAAAATTAACTAAGCTTTGGGTCTGGGCATTGAGAGATCTGTTTGAGCCTCCAGCCCTGGGCTTCACCTGTCACTAGTCACCTGCCACAAACCCAATCTTACTCTGTGGTTTTGTTTCTTTAGGTTGGTAACCTATCAGCTGGCTGGGCTCTTGGGTACATGCTGAATCTGACCAACACCATCCCAGAGGATAAGCTGAGCTCCCTGAAAGCGATTGAATATGGGATCTGGCCCTTGCTCTTTATCCTCTTTGTCCTGATGCTCACTGGCTCTTTCACACGCATCGCATACCGTGTGATGGCTAAGGACAACGGAGAGGACCGCATCTTGGAAGGACTCTGACTGTTGTCCCAGGGGTTGTCAGCTCTCAGCAGAGGGCAATTACAGGACTGAGAGAATGAGCGCGCACAAAGGAGTGTCTGGCCTAGGAGACGCTGCAGAGCTGTTGCATAGGTGTCAGGAAAAGCTCTTTAGTGTTTAATTTTTTTCATCCAACCACTTCTCCAAGAGGCAAACAGCCAGATGGGGTTTCCAGAGTTCAGTACGGCGTTGAGCCTCCCCACCAAGCCAGACAGGCTGTAAACATGTCGCTTACACTGATGCCATAGAAAGTGCCTGGTAACTAGCCCTGAATGCCGGGTACATGCTGGTAGTTGTTTTCTGTGGCGCTCAGAAGGCAGATCCCAGTGGAAGAGATTCGGATTTCAGTTACCCCAGAGTACCTCTAGGAGGATCTCCCTGGCTGTCAGTTACTCTGGATTTGCATCTTGGTGGCTGATAGCAGAATCAATTGGAAATCTTCTGGCCTTGAGCTCTTTTGAAACTCTGGCCCACAGAGACCACAACCAGTAGCTTTTACAGGAAAAATGGCTTTCCGAACAAGCCTCAGAGCAACACGGCACACGAATACAACTGTCATCACAATGGAGCCAGGCCATTCCTGTCAATGCTAGAAGGGCAGAGTGAAAATAGGATCAGACTGTGAAGAATTTGTTGTAAAAGGTGCGGTTCCTGCCCAGAAGAACAGACTCTATATCCACTGATTGGGAATTGAATGTCCTTAAAATTCAGCTGTAATGTAACTGCCAGTTCACTGTCTTGTTCCACTTATGAAGGTAGCTTTCCAACCCCGGTAGTAATTACCTGATTGTTTCAGCATCTTAGTTTTAACAAAGAAAATATCCATGCTCGTTTTCCTGCCAGCCTCATTCTTCCTTATGAGTGGTAATCTTCAAAAGTGTATGATCTCTTTTTCTGGCTTTGGTGGTGGTATGATGTGTATTGGGGTAGCACCTGGAGGTTCCAATCAATATCAGGGCCTCACTGTGCTAGCACTGTGAAAACACAGTCAGCCCATCCCAAAGTTCTTGCAATCTAAGTACACAAGAGAGACAAAGGATGGGAGGGGAAACTGAGGCACAGAAGGTGATGTGACTTGCCCCAAATCATGCATCCAGTCAGTGGCAGAGCCAGGAATAGAAGCCAGATCTTCCGATTTCCAGTCCAATGACCTATCTGTTAGACCAGGATTAAAGTTAAGCAGTTAGTTTATATTCCAACATCCAAATTTCCTTTGGAGCATTGCAGTGATACCTGAGCACTTCTAGTGTGGTATGCTAGTCCAGCATTCCTGGAACATGGTGCTTCTGGTGATATCACATCACATCACTAGCCAATCATTGTCTCTGCTGTTTTACCATCATTCTTGGTACTAACCCTTCGTACGCTGATATCAATCCTAGGATGAGACGGTGGTTCCCTAGGTCAGTGGTTCTCAAGCAGGGGTACGCAGAGGTCTTCCGGGGATACATCAACTCATCTAGATATTTGCCTAGTTTTACAACAGGCTATGTGAAAAGCACTAGCGAAGTCAGTGCTAACTAAAATGTCATACAACGACGTGTTTATACTGCTCTACATGCTGTACACGGCAATGTAATACAATATTTATATTCCAGTTGATTGATTTTATAATTCTATGGTAAAAATGAGTTACTGAAAATTGCTAACAGTCTGACTGTGACACTTTTTGTATTTTTATGTCTGAGTTTGTAAGCAAGGAGTTTTTAAGTGAGGTGAAACTTGGGGGTCGGCAAGACAAATCAGCCGTCTGGAAAGGTTGAGAGCCCCTGCCCTCGGTAAAGGCATGGGTATTTTCAAACTCTTGTAAAAGAGCCCAGTGCTATTGAAGTTGCTTTCAAAGAAATGGAAAGGATTAAATAAAATGAAATATAATCCGTCAGCTAAAGAATTTAGGGTGTGATTTTCCCCCCCCCCCCCAAGAATGACTTGGCCAGATTCTTACGGGTATTTAGGTGCCTGGGAGTTAGGTGTCTGAATAAATTTAAGTCAGGCCCTGAGTAACGTAGGAAAACAAGCTCCAGAAGTTAAATGCATTTGTGCTTCTATATCACTCCGGGTACGTCCACACTGCAATAAAAAGCCCCGACACCGAGTCTCCGAGCCAGGGTCAGCTCTCACGGGCTCATGGAGCTCAGCGTGCAGGGCTAAAAATCAGTGTCGATGTTGCACTTGGCCTCGAACCTGAGCTCTGAGTCTCTCCCTCCTCACAGGGTTTCAGATCCCAGGCTCCAGCGCAACCCTGAACATCTACACTGCAAATTTTAGCCCCACAGCCCGACCCCGTGAGCCCAAGTCAGCTGATCTGGGCCAGCCCCGACTGTGCTGAAGGTCTTTTTTTTTGCAGTGTAAATGTACCCCTTGGGTAACAGCATCTTTTTAAAAAAATATGTGACATAAGAGCCTAAGCCCCATTTTCTAAAGGGATATAGGTACTTAGGAGGCTAGAGCCCATTGACTTTTGAAAACGGGCCTTAGGCTCCTCAGATGCTTTTGAAAAATCCCCCCCACAATGTTGTTCATAACTGTACGTTACAGCAAGGCAGCTCCAACAGTTCTGGGGCCGCTCATGCTGGTCTGAAGCCCACAGGTGGAGCGTGGGGGAGGGCAGGCCTGGGGGCACAGTGAAAGCTGAAGTAGGAACCTTCAGTTTGCTTCTTGTGTGTGTGTGTTTGAGCTGCACGTCTTAGTATAACTTTAATAAGTGGTTCTAATGGGCAATCTGTGCTAGTCTCAACCAGGCCTCGTCAACAAGAAGAGACCTGTGTAGCTCAGAAGCTTGTCCCTTTCACTAACCGATGGCAATAAAAGAGATTCCCTCACCCACCTTGTGTCTCTCATATTCTGGGCCCAATACAGCTACACCAACACTGCCCAGAACGTTTGTAAAAGTCCTTGAACTTTAAGACACTCTTTGGTCTGACCCTTCCCCCACTGCTGAGTTTGAGAATGTTTCATTGTTCTATATTGCCCTGGGGATAAACACTGCAATCATATTCCAGCAGGGGTCATGTCCATCCATACCCTATCTCCAGCTGTTGTGAAGAAAGATAGGTTTCCTTTCATAAACTAGGCAGATGAATGTTGATGTAAGTCCCCCAGTGGCTCCATCCCTCTCTGTCCTACTAAATCTATGTTTGCCTTCTAGCATTAAATGGAAGGAAAGGAACTTGGGTAGTAGCCAGTGCTCTCGCTGCCGTAATAAGACTCTTAAGGCTATTACCAAGAAAACAAACCTCCCTAAAAATTCAATCCACACCAATAAACGTTAGTGCAATCAGCCGTGAGGGAGCAGAGCCAGGTAACGTAAGCACATTGAAGGGATGGGGGTCACGTCATCTTGGTACGGGAGAGACCCAGGTTCCAAAGACACCTCACAATAATCTGTTCTTGGACCAGTGAAGACTGAGCATGTGGCAGAGGCAACAAACTGGGTTTCCAGGAGTAACGGGAGACTGGTGTAAACTTCCCTCTTTATGGAGTTCTCTTTGGCCCTGTGGCCTGAGTCTGAGAAGGTGGAGGAATGGAAACGGTAGCAGGTAGAGACCGTGGAGTTAGTGGAAGAAGGCAGTTCTGACAGCAGAGATAGATAGTAGGCTGTGCATTGGTCTCAAGGAAGAGGGCTCCTATCCAGGGCCGGCTTTAGGAAGTGCAGGGCCCGATTCGAACAGTTTCGACGGGGCCCCGGCAGGGATGACTAAAAAAAAACAACACGTAAAAAAAACACGTGGGG